TTTTAAATAAAGGCTGAAACAGTATTATAACCAAAAATTAGCCTATCTTTTTTTGGTAAATATTATGATGATCAATTTCAGACTAATAAAATTAATCATTTATGTGATATTTCAAAAATGATTATCACAAATTTCAACCAATAATATTGCTAGAAAATCAAATGTCTATTATGCTTGTGCTGACATAAGACGACTTTCTTAAAGGAAGACCTTTTAATGTGACCTGAATAGCAGGTACTATTACGTTAGTCACATAAGTACCTTCATTTTGTGATTTCGCAAAGTTGGAACTAAATGCAGGATTATTCCATGAATTATTTAGAGAACCCAAAATTCTTGATGTGACCTCTGCAAGCTCCTTATCTGATTCTTTTCACTCCCCATTATGAGAAAGATTTTGTGGTAAAATATTCATATCACTCTCAATAAAGTTAACCACGAATTCTTCATATATTTTCCGTATAATTTGTGAAAATGATGGAGGAATCATAGGTTTCTAATGATAGCATAAATTAAAATGATGTTCAGATCGAAAAAAACAACTGTTAGCTAGAGAGGTTTTTCGAACCAGACGCTTCACATGTGACTGCATAAGAAAAAAAAGAATTTTACCATAAAAGACTCCTTCAACCATTCTGGTAATTTCTGCATCAGATTTGAATCATTGCTAATTACTTAGTTAGCTAGAGGATCCTTCCAGGTTAACTCAGAAATAGACATCCTATTTACACCTGAAAATAAATGGTGGTAAAGCTGTGACATATTTTTTCTAAGTTTACCTTTAGTGTCATGATATTTTTTCCAATTTTATCTGAACTAAGAGGCCTTTCTCCATTCGTTTTCACCACACTGATGTTACGTAAACTACAAACTATTTTAAAGCCAATTTCAAACTAACGCAGACATACAATTAATTAGTTCCGGATATATATATATATATATAATTATCAAAAACGCATGCACTGTCAGATTAAAATAAAGCCCTATTCTCGCATGGTTAGCTACTCCAACACTCAAATAAAAACTTTATGCAATACTAAATTAACCACATTAAATTAAGCATATACATATAGCCTAACTATCCTTCACACTGCTAAGCAAAAAATCCTGTGAGTGAGCTAATAGGATATTTAGTCTATTATGCTCTCTTCCTTAGAACGGTATCAGTTTGCATTATTCATCACTCAAATAAATTTTCTTTTTACTTTTTTTAGAAAATATCTTACCTCTGGTAAAATTTCGAGAAGAGTAGTATGACGTGAGGAACCTCAATCATATTAATTCTTCACAAATGTCACAGCCCGCTCAATAATACTTTTCAGCTCATTTTGAGATATTCAGGGATTATCTTCGATTCCTTGATAGATAACAGACCTAGCGGTAATGTCCTCTTCCTCAGCATTTAACAAGAAATTGTAAATTTTAGTGTATAAATCAGCAGGAATGGTAAAAATAAAAGAAGTTATAATATTAATCACTTCAATATACTGCCTTTTTAAATGATTCCATTCATATCTTCTCTGAGCCTGAGTTCATGTTGGGGTCGAAGCAGAAGAATATGCAATGACTTTTATGCCAAAATTTTGTGTCCAAGTATAAGGGTATGTGGAATATACATTGAAGATCTTGATATTTTACAAAGGCATTAGGGATAATACATATATGAACTTTTTTTTTGTTTAAACCACACAAAGATCCAGCACATATATAGATATTATTCTACTTAAAATATAATAGAAATATCCTGTCCCTCCAGAACGAATATACATATTATTAAATGCTATTCTGCTAAATATTATTCAGCTAAATGTTGTAAGGGAAAAAATTCGAAATATTTTGGGAATTGATTTCTTATCTGTGAAATTAATTTGTCGTACAAACAGTCACACAGAGTTACAGATGATTTGTGGAGTATCACTTATTACATTATATGCACTTTAATGAGGATCGAAAACGTGTTAATTTGTGTAGTACAAGCTAACATGCATTGGCTGTGAGGTGCTTCGCATAGCCAGACAATATATTATTTTATTAAGATAATATTCAGAATCTGGATCAAGGACTGATCTGGAAAATTTGGCGTACAATCTCACAATTATCATCCAAATCTGTGTAATTTACGGTAATATTCTTTCCGTAAATATGATATACAGTGAATCGCATATAGGTTTTATTACTGATAATTTACTCTTATATGCCTCGTATTCTGAAATTCTGATGAAATATTCATAATTATATTTTTTATGAATACTATAATATCCGGGATTCTGTAGCTATTTTAACATATCAAGCCAATATGTATCTCTAACAACTATATGGCAGCTTTGCAATAGAAAGGGAAGAAACTCTAAAAAAATTAAAATTTTACTTTCTAAGCTAATTATGATGTTTTTTGTAAAATAAGTCCAGATTTAACATTAACTCAAAAAAAAATTTTTTTAGAGTTTTCTCCCTTTCTATTGCAAAGTTCCTATATAGCCTTACTGATATAATAATTTCTTAACAAGTATGTATGTTACAAAAGATAATCGTTGCCATAATTGGGCTCTCTTCTTATACATCCAATCATTTCTTACTGGATAACAACGTCTCTCATCTTCATAACAAATATATCCTGATTGTCTTGATACATTTTTCATACCTAAAAACTTCATATCGTTAGGAGTACTATCATTCCTCACCACCTCCCAAACTTGTTTTGCCAAAGATTTGGGTCTCTTCTTGTAATTCCTATAAGCTTGCTGGATTAACATTGCATAGAAATTTTCAAACTAATAGTTATATTGTCTTGCAATTAAGAATCCCCAAGAGCACTTCAAACCCAGAATAGGCAGATCATATTTTTTATCTAGCAGGTGATATATTTCACAATTTCACTAGGTGATCATGCATGCAGATTATATAGCTATTCATTACGCAAAAAAAATAAAGTATAAGTTATACATTGCGCCTTTGGCTAAATAATATTAATCTTCAGTTAGTCTATAATTAACAGTTAATCTGGTTAAACAATCATGATTTTTGTCCTATCTCTCAATCTTAATGCAAACTGATTAAGATGGTTTATAGATGATAGTAAGTTTTTCTGTTTTGCATATTGAGACGATATAAATATTTCGCTTATATTACTTTTGCAATTTGATAATTGATAAGAAGTTGGTGAAATCATTTCTTGTATGGTAGGCGAAATACAAGCTGGCTCGAAATTTGGAATACTTGGTATAATCACTTTATAACATGAATTATTCCAATGATCCTTAATCAGATCTTCAGATTCAACTTCATAGGCCCATCTTCCCCAACTACTATAATATTCTTTTCTAGGCTCTACTTCAGTAATCTTCACCAATTTCCAGCATTTGAAGTAGATAGCCATCTGACTTTTATGAACACTAGGTCTACGATAGTTAAAGGGATTTCCATATAACACTTCATTAATATAGTATGTTATGGATTCTACTTGTCCAAATAATGTGAAAAAGTAGTATACATAGTATAAACTATATTTTTGCTTAGAAACTAATTCTTGCAAAGGAGCTCTTATATGATCAGCCTATTGTTAAGGTGTTTCATGAGGTTTAATAATAGATAAATGATCATATTCTTTTTCTATTTCGACCACTTTTTCATATCGATAATTATCAGTTTGAGGATGATAGTTAAAAACATGTTTCATATCATATCCGGGATGAAGATTAATAAGTTTAGGTATAGCTTTATTATAAATCTTGTCTAATATGATCTTTACCATTGAATCAGGCATATTTATCAGTAAATTAGTGAATTATATTATTTTATCGATTTATAGTGTTTTTATTAACTTTATACTAGTAAATATCACATTTCAAATTTGTATTAAATTTTCTGATCACTATCAAGTCACTGGATCATGGGTGGTCGATTAATTATTTTCTAATGATTTCATAAAAATAAGGGCTTTTTCCATCCCCTGCACTTGCGCCTTCATTTTGCTAATCTTCTGGCGTAGTTGATTATTTGCCTTAATTTGTTTCTCATGTTCTCTAGTCAGATTTTGCATAAAACGGCCAAAGGTTTCTTTATTATATTTGAGTAATTGCTCTTGCAAGACAATAACCCAGCTATTAATTTCTGCCTCATAATCTGTACTAACTGTTTGTGTCCTATTGTCTATGACGTAAGAAATAAGCAATGTTAAGGATGCCGGGCATTCAGGCCAACTTTGGGGGCATAATTTTTTCTGATCCATAGTTTTACGATTCTGGTCTAATGATTTCTGGTAAATCTCTAATATATGGAGCAAATAATCCTCTATACGCTTATTTTCTCTGAAATCTGGTTTAGGGAAATAGGTTTATGCAAATGATTTAAGAGCCTTTGGTATGCCCTATCTTTTATACTTACTGGAAGTTTATCTATAATGTAATTATAATCTAGATAGAACATTATACTCAGATATTTTACGCGCAAAAAATCTTGCATGTAAAAATTTATTATAGGGTTAGCTGATTTAGGATTAGTTTGCAGATCCCTCATGATTTTATTTATTCGATAAGCAGTCATACAGCATTTACAGATACATGAATTAAAAAAGAGAAAGGCCCGATATGGGCAGGCCTCATGGGACCACAAACTTTATTAATATTTGTGTAAGAGTACAGAAGCAAAGTCTGTGATAGCATATCACAACGTCACATGACTTGTGGCGCAGTAAAATGATTCTTACAAGGACGAAAGCATTGCCAAAACATAATCTATATCTTTCTGAGATATATAAGTTAATGTTGAGACAGTAAAAGTCTTGATCCACTTAATCTTATCAATTCTCAATTCACTAAACATATCATAAATCTTTTGAACCCTTTTCTTTGTCTTTCGAAGTAAGCTTTCACTAACAGATATAGGAATCTGTTTTCTAACCTCATTATTTACTAGACCTTGGGACGTACGCTTGGGGTTGAATTTTCGAAAAAAGTTGTATTGATCCTTTAATGCCTTACCAAAATGGAAATAGCGAAAGATTAAGTCTTGAGCCATTTTCTTGCTAGCATCTTCAGCATCAAGAATATCTTTATATAGTTTGAGAAAATCGATAGAAGCATTCGTACTAGAAGCGGAGGAGGATCTAGTTCTAATATTATGTCATCTTCGAAAATATCAGTTGACAGTTCCTGGATAAAACATTTCAATATTTGTGAGTTATCTCTTCCCGAAGATTTGACTTTCTTTCTTGAGGTGTTATCAGTGGATGATTCATTAGAATGCCTTCTTTGCGTAGTTGATTCTATTAGAAATGCTCCCAAATCTTTAACTGGGCAGGTAGAACACTTCTTTCGAGAATTATTAATGCAATCATAGTGTATGGCATATTTACAGGATAGAAAGACAGTATTTTTCAGGAAATCTGGAGTAATTTCTTCAGAGCATTTAGCGCAAAATAAATGTTTTTCTGTTTTTTGAATAGATGTATCCTTGACTTCCTCCATCAGATCTTCTGGTATTGGTGAAATTAGGTTAAACTTTTCGCTTATCCAATTAGATAAGGCTGAAGTTCCACTTGATTGGAATAAATGTGAACCTCTTCTAGCAAAGGTAAAGACCGGATATATGATATCAACTTTCTTCCCACAATCAGAGAATTGACATACATCTGGTCTGATAATCATGAGCTTCTTCTCGATGCAAAGTCTATGAAATAGATGCTCACATGAAAGTACTGTAAATGTTTTGAGAGGAAGTGTCAAGATATCATTTGTACATTCGGAACATAGCTCTAGATCTGAAATTTCTTTATCCTTAACCATTTCATCCTTGAGATACTTCAAGATATTATAGTCGAAATTTCTATGATTGGTAAGTGATAGTTGTGGTCTCTCTGAGACCTGGTAAGAAGGATCTTTGGTCGATTCTGAGCCTGACATATTTAGTTGGTTTAACTCTCATCGTTAACTAGCCAGTTTTATATAGCACTGATACATGTTCAGGAGAAAGATATTACCAGATTCTTATTAGCAATTACGTATAGCATTTCGTCATTCTGTTAATCCTATGAGATAGCCAAAAGATTAGCATATACACCCCATAACCCCATCATGTGAAATAATGATTGATAAAAATTAGCTATATTCGAAATGTTGTTTAGAAAAGAAAAGACTGGATGTTAATATAGCTTTTTATATCGCACAGGCTTATCATCATATGTGACCCATTTCTCATATACTGATAAAATAATAATACTTATTTATAAATAATAAACATTGCCGAAAATCAGCTTACAATACATAAAAATTGCGAATATATCACTACATATTATAAGAAAATTATTCTGAGCCTAAAAGAGGCTGAGCTATGACATAGTAATAATCTGGTCGGGGTTGTTCATTAAAAAAAGTGGAAATCAAATCCTGCAGTTGCATAAGCATTTCACTAGGGAAAACTTGATGAATTTTTAGACAAATATTGTTGAAGGGTGCCTCTAATCTGCTTTAAATTGTAGCTTCAGATACTCTAACTGCTTAGCTTCTACTAACTGTAACTGTTTGCTGAACTTAATCGCGTAGAAGAAAATGAAGTTTTCCATATAGAACAATAAGACAATGAAAAATGATATTGTCATTATCTGCATTAGAAGTCATCTTGTTTTCCTAAATACAAGGCCCATAGTGAGAAAAGACTCGCTCTCGTACTATACATACACAATACATACCTTAAAATTTTTGCGGAAAGTTGACTGAACTTTTACATACCCCTATATACTTTATATCTGACTGGAAAAAAGAACGCTAAGCCAAAGTTAAGGAGGTATGAAACGTAATTAGTATTGTCTTATGATGCTAAGAGCTTCATGAAAGCACATGCAAACAGAATCTTCTTACCTTTTCACATGATCTACCAGAGAGATACATAGTTGGTCTTACGTCTGGTGATCTCAAAATTGTGAAGTTCTTAGCCCTTCATAATATATGCTTTTAACATTATTATTTACTTTTACACTAGGTCCTGTATTGCAACTAGACCTCCTTTCACATTTTTCTCACATTTATTTGGGAAAAAATAGAGGTACTGGTTAGTATTTTTGATTATATGCAAAAATTAATATATCGCACAGACCTATTATGTGATCAGCCTATTTTTTGTCACACAGGAGTACATGCATTGTGGTTCAGCAAGTTCTTCGGTGATCACTACTCCAGACTAAGGCTTTCCACTAATTCATCCAACGCAAGTTCTTCTAACCAACCCATATCAACTTTAAACATATTCTCAGTTGATAATCCTCTGAAGAATAGCCATTTGAGCCATTCTTCATGATAGCCTACGCTTTTGTTGCACTCTATTAGTTTCGAATAAAAGTCTTTTACCGTATTATTGCCTTGAACCAATTTTCCAACTTTAAAATCCCAGAGAGTTTTTCTTTTGGGCAATTCAAGATTTATTTCTTTTTCCTATACATCATTTATACTGTGAGAATTTTTTAAATCCTGTTCTGGAAGATACCTTAGAATAAATAGCATTAGTTCTGGCATAAGCTGATCAAGTAAATTAATTGTATGCATTTTATATGATTCAGAGATTTTCAATCGGAAAAAATAAGGTCAGTAATACACAATCTGTGGCTCAGCAAATTCTTCTAAGCTGAAGATCACTGTTCTGGAATGATGATCAGTATTTCAGACTCGAAATTATCTGTATTAAATATATTACTTTATTATAGCAATCATGGCAAATAATCCCGAAACACTTAATCAATTATATGAAGTGCTATTATATAAGAAGAAGGATATAATAGCTATTCAGAAAAAACTCGGTATTAGTGGAAATGTAAATCAAATGGCAAACATTAAAGCAAAAAGGCAAAAAACACTTGCCGATTCATATGAGCTGTTGTTAGAATTGGTAGGGGGTTTAATACTGATATAGAAAAATCTCAACATTGATGGTAATCCTGTTCTAACAATAGAATATCGAAGCAATGAAACTTCTATGGATATTTCATTGAAGGAGATATTTAATTTGCTTATGTATTTGGAAGAGGATATAATAGCAATTCAGGAAGAACTCAATATTGTTGGCTACACTAATCAAGAAATGGCAGAAGAGACTGATAAAACCGCAAGTGAATATTTTTGAAAGTTTGAGAAATACCATGGCCTCTTAGAAGATGTTTTAAGTGTATTAATACAGAAATTCATCAATAGGAGAGTAAAAATGTTTTATTTTACCGGAGAGGAACTACCATTATTTTCGAAGGTCTCTTCTCAACAATTGTACGAAATTTTTGTCAAAAATCCAGCTAGCGTCGGTCAGTGCCCATGTCTAGAACAGGGTAGCTAATTTATATTTTTTCTCACACATAGCACAAAAAAAATCTGAGCTAATGATCATTGCTCTGGACTAGATAGATCAGACTACTCAAATTAGATTTCTTCTAGGTTTCACCTTTCTTGCCTTTCTCTTATAATCGAATAATAAAATATCTCAACCAGGTCATAAAATTCGTCTGAAATATTGTTATTTGGATATTTTCTAATCGAATTTATATTGACATTGGCAGATATAACCATTTTAGATAATGCCATAGTCATTGACATTGCGTCCTCTGTATTTTTAAAAAGGTCATGCAGAATCAGAACTTGCACAAGATCATCAATATATTCTCTTTTGTGTATATCATAGACTGGATTATGCTGAAAGCTATTATTAGATAAATGTTCAACCATCTTTTCCTATAACTGAATATTTATTGTGCTATAAAAAAAATCCCTTATACCTTTGATACTGCGGGAGATAAGCCAACTATTTTGTGAAATATGTCCTTTCTTGATCTATCAATCTGCAGAAGAACTCATTTTTTTCAGCTTTAACAGTGGTATCTTTCATTGCATCGGAGACAGGTAAGTCTTACATTCTGAAGATAATGACCCTCAGAATCGTCTATTTGATCAATCAAAAATGATTGCGAATAGCATTTAGAATAGCCTTAGAATAGGAGTAGAATACAACATACCTTACAAACTTTCTTTTGCTGATATGCCATAGAAAATATCTCTTCTGGCATGATTGATGAAATAGCTTTTTTCTCATCATTCTCTGCTAGATAGAGCGGGTTCTCATATACAGTAGTATCCTTGATCAAATCAGTCTTATCATCTACCTCCCAATCCTCAGCTATCATAAGTGGTTTTGGAAAGTGTTGCTTCTATTTTCTGATTATTCACCTTATGACGTCTCAATTTTGCCTCAATAATTTGGGGCAAGGAGTTGCTTGAAGTTCAGTAGGTTTGATATATTCAAGGACACCGTCTGGTGGTTTAACTCGAATCATTTGATTCATATATCGTACTCGACTGCAGGCTGTATATATAGCATTGTTAATCTAACCTTCTAAGCTATGGTCCATAATGAAACAATGTTTCAGAAGCTCAACAGTCTGTCCTTAAATTTGATGAATTTTGCCTTAGCCAGCATATTTCCAAGTCCTTGCAGTACTATTTCAAGTGGTACATTTACTATCATACTAACATATGCTTCGATAATTTCATTACTACCTGGAATCTGCATAGGTTTTCCTTGAATGCGATACATATGCTTGATACTTTCGTCTGGGTCGAAGCAGATAATTGAAGATATACTGGAGAAGCATGACTTATGTGCCTGTATTAATGCACTTTTAACTCGCATACCCATATCATTTGTGGAGCAAATCCAGGTATCTTCTGAAATCCATTCAATAAGTGCATTCTTCCATGATATTTTAGGTATAGCCTCACGGAATTCTTGCAATTGGGTCATATCATCTTTCATCCACATGCGTAATTTTAATGCCTTAAGTTCAGGATCATAAGCATGATAATCATCCATGCATCAGATTACTTCATTAGCCCACTCAGTAAGAAATTTATGTGGACCTTCTTTATCATCCCATGATGTAAGTTGGCCTGGATCACCACACATAATATTCTGACATCCGTGATTTTTGGCATATGACAATAATTTCTGCAATACCTTCTTAGGAATTATGCATACCTCATCAAAGATAAGTATTTCGGTCAGAGTTTTTTTTCTAAGACATGCGGGATCCCACTCATCAATTGGAGTTGCTTCAAGATAGAAATACTTGTAATAGGTCATAGCTACTAAACCCGGATTCTACTTTCTATGATACTCTGCAAGTAAGTTTGCCAGTGTGAGAACTACAACCTTTCGACCAGGAAACGCACGAATAGCTCGTGTTGTTTTTCCACTACCTTCTTGGCCAACTAGATAAACCTTTTGCAATGTTATTAGTTTTGAATCAATAGAACGAAGGGTGCATCACTTGGAAGGAATTCCAGTGTACCTCTATGATTAATAGCCTAGGACGATGCTTCTTTACAATAAGTATATCCCTCCTTTTTCTTGCGCTATTGACCATACTTAATTTCTGGTATTTCTAAGATAATAACTGATTCATACTGCTTTCTTTTTTTATCTATTTTAGCCTCATATTTCGCACGCATTTCTTTTAACTCTGCATTATTTTTTGCTTTAGCAAAGAGGTTTTTATCAAAATTGGGAAGCAATTCTTGTCTCATCTCAACAACAGTTTCATCTAAAATAGTTTCAGGAATTGCTGTGATGTAAATAGCATCTGTGCATACTCGTAATACATTTTTAACTGGAAAAAGCTTTAACTGTTTGAGTACAGCAATATGGGTATAGGCTAGAACGAAAGAACGGATATGCAACCATTGCTTACACTTTTCATCACCTTCATACTTGATTAAGCTTCCTTGCTCTGTTCAGGTCCAGTTTGGTCAGCATTTATTTTTTGCTAGCCAGTTGACTAACATATCTGCTTCATTTATATCCTAAACTAAAATGGATGTTACTTGCACATTATGAGCATATGAATCTACAAAACGGATAGCTAAATCATGATCTGGTAGAAACTCAATGCAGGACCTTTTGCCCACACTATATATGATCTCTCTTGAAGTTGCGCTTATGAGCCATCCTTTGCTTAGCAAGTAATCGACTAAGGGCGTTGGTATCCAACCTTCTTTTTCTGAAAGATGTTGCCCAATAAGCCCTGCTATAAATGGATGCAAGTCATGAGCAAATTCCCATGCTATAAGCTGAACAATATCTGTTAAGATCCGAATGGCCTCAATATTATCAACATGGGCTCAGCATTGTGTTCACTCTGGGAAACCATATTTTTGAATCCATGGTAATACTTTTGATGCACTTCGTTCTGAATCTTCACAGTCAAGATACGCTCTACGAATGTTTATGTGAATATGCTTAGGAGCTGAATCTATTGATGCATTCTATATTATTGATTCTACCTGTGATTTACGCCAGACTTTGATAACGTTTCTAGGTGTAAGTGCAATACCTTCTTTTTCTCGTCAGTAACGGAATCGATAAGACTGAGCACCTCCTAGTGACTTCCAAACTTTATCAAAATCAGCTTTAAGCTCTTCTGAAGGAGCTAGTGTATTAGGCTAATGCGGTCCTTTTGCTTTAGCACTTTTGGCTAGGACCTGTTCATTTTTGATCTACTGACGAATATCTAAATTTTCTTCCCATAAAAATTCTTCAGGTATGGATTGCGATTTTTCACATATAAATGCGTCGTTCAGCTTTTTCCATTCATGAGAACTACGATAAAGAATACCTTCATGAGTTAAAATCTCCTTACCTACAATCCATATTCTTGTAGCTCTTGGAAGGTTTCTTATAACAAATGATATAAGAGCTTCAGCAATCTTTTTTTCGTCAATATTAATCTTTTTCTCTTTGGTCTTTGTACATGCGGAAATGAGTGCTCTTTCACATTCATAGTCCATATCACTGACCAAGGATACTCTAGGTATTTCAGGTATACCTCCTGTCTATACGTGATTTTTATGACAAAATACTGTTAGCTTACGTTGCTTAAGATACCTACCACTATTCCATATTTCGTTTTCCAAAATATCTTTGATGACAATTTTCATCCCTATATATCCAGATTTTTCTGGCTTTTCAAGGTTATGCAAATCATCTAAAGTACAGCCAGATGCTTGTATCTTTTCATTAAATTTCACAAGGGCACTTTTATGAGCTGGCGTTAGCCCTATAGCCCGCTTTGTTCCTCCATGCTCTATTAGTCATTGTAATTCTGCTACAATACAATTCAAGTCACTATCATAAAATGGTCCCAGTGGTCCTTATGATCTCAGAACTAGTCGAAGTTCATAGCAAATATGGCCAACAAATTCTCGGGTCTTTATTACTAAATATTCGTCAATTCTCTTTAGTTGTCCTGCCATGATTTCTTCTCCAGAAAGACTTCCAACTTTCTTTTTCTTACCGAAATGCCATCCTTTATCTTCCATTTCTTCTATATATCCTTCTTCTGTATAGAGTTTAGTACAAAGAATATATTCTGTAGAATGATAAAGAAGACGGCAAGCTTCTGATGCTATTTTATAGCTAACTTCAACTAGTCCATCACTATGTCACTATACAGTTCCATCTTTATGAATACCTAGACCATATAATTTTTACGAGAACATGCCATAAACTGAAAACGTAATTCATAGGGCTGGCCTTCTAGCTCAAGATTATATGGCTTGTCTTGATACTCATTAAGATTCATCGCCCCTATATCTTTTCAGGATAACCACACTCTTTTATCTATCAATAGAAGTTCATTTAGACTGACTTTTCTATTAGAATGAGCACGTAATGATGACCATCCATGAGGTTCCATGTGATACTCATCTTTTCCTTCTGGAACCCATTCCTTCTTTATGCCTACATAGACATTAGATTTACTCTATTGTATTCGCTCTTCCATTCTACCAATTTCCCAATCATTAGCCACTTTAATAACATATTCTTCATCATCATCCATTAGATTCCAAATTTTCTTAGCATAACTATTTGTTATATGTGATTTATTTGTCTCTCTAGAAAGTTTCCAGTATCCAAACTATGTTGATTTTTTTTCCTTTAGGGTGCTAATTTTGGAATTCGTCTCGAAAATCATCAAATTAATCCATCTTCATGCCGTTCTGGATTTTCTTTTCCTAGCTACTCCTGCTTGTCTGCCCATTCATCGAATGTAACAGGATCTATATTTTCAGATCTTTTGGCTTAGAACCCTTTACTGGGCTTACTAACTAGTCAGCCAATTTATCTATAGATTTGTTTTGCGAAACATCATGCGTTCCACTTCTTTTTTTCTCAACTACTACCTAAAGTTATGCGATTTCCTCTTGATACTTAGCAAGCAAATCATTGGAATATAGATATGGTATCATGTCTAATGTTACTCCTTTAAGCTCTGCAAGTTTGGCTCGAATTTCTTTATGAATATTTGCTTGGCTAGCTTGACAAGATGACATCTTATATAGTATATCTTTCACAGTGTAATAATAACCTCAGAAAATTTTATTCAATTAATTAATTAATTCTCCTTCTGCCTTAATATATGTCGAAGCAGAATAGTATTTATCTTTTTCTGAGCATTACGAAGAAAAAGGCCACCTATTCCCGCCTGACAATTCACTAGATACACTTAACGGCATATCTAGGTCTATTTGGCTAATTGGGTGATAAGCTAACTGGCTAGAGAAAATCAGATCAAGAGAAGTAGGCGCATACTAGGAATATATTAGGTTACATTTTTTTACATACTTTTCTTTGCAACATTAGCCAGACATTGTTGTCTTGTCGGTCAGGAATATGAGTATACTTTCACAATTTGCTTTATAGTTTGGTCACATGCTCCTCACTTTCGGTACTTCGCAACTCCTGCATTCATATTTATCTCATACTTTAGAATAGGGTAGCATAGGGTTGAAAAAATATATATTAGCTTCCGCCCTAAAGGACTCCAGCTAATATATATTTTTTCTCCTGTCAAACTGCGCATTCGTCATTGCTATGCTCCTCCTCATGCTTGTTCTCCCATCAAGTGCTACCATTATGATATGCTATTGGAAGGCGATTTGCATACCATTTACCCACTTATTGTATTCACAATTTGCTTACCGCTCCACTTCGTTCTGCATATAGTAAGCTTATTTGCATTCAAAGAGCTCATGCTAAATAAAATAACAAGTTAGTATTTATAAGATTCCAGAAAGTTTAGCTAAGTAAGATTACAAATTAGTATTTCTAAAATTGCGGAGTCTTCAGCTAGGCAAAAAAGTAAAAAAGTAATTTTAATGAGCTAGAGAAGCGAGGAATAAAAAAAGAATACAAAGTAGTATAACAAGAAGGCATTGTGGAAAGTGTACACCTCTAGTGGGAACTGCTCTCATCTCCCCCTGACGGTATTATTTATGCTGTTATTGATGATGATAATATTGATGATGGTGATAGTGATGATGATGGTAATAATGGTGGTAGTAATATATATATTTTTTCTTTTATACTAATATATTAATAAAAAAAGTATTATTATTATAAAAAATTACTTATTATTTTTTTATTTAAAAATAATATATACTAACTGAGATAGTAATAGAACTGAAGAAGCACGTTTTGATTGAATAGAAATTGTTGTTGATGTTGATGGTGATAGTAATGATGATGATGATGATGATGATTGTGATGGAGAAAATGATGATGAAAGTGGTGTTGATAATAATGATTGTGATATATATTTATGAAGTTCAAAAATCCATTTTACTGATAATTTGTGTAATTTTAAAAGTCTTTTTTGTTATTCATTGCTTTATTTATCATTTGTATTTTTATCCATTTTTTTTTTAAAAAAAAAAAGCCTTTTTAAAAAAACTCACTTAAATAAAGTTTTTTTAAAAAAATATATGTTTAATCTTTTTTTAGATAAACTAGATAACACTAAAACTATTCTCATTAAAATTATTCAAACAATTGATTAAAAGATAATACAATCAAATAATAGTAATGTTTATATACTTAAAATAAAAGGAATTAAACAACAAATTGATGAACTCTTTCTATAAAAAGAAATAAATTTTTAAATTTTTTTGATACAATAAACAAGTTTGAGAATTCTTACATGATTATAATACACAAGTTTACAATAAGAATTC